ATGGCAAAGAAAGCACTCTCGCAGGACTCCCAGAGTTCATCAAGATTCTTTGGATTAATCTTCAATGTCTCCATTTTACCCCAGACATGCTCAGTAATGTTCAGGCGTGGTAACTGGCATGGCCAATCCTAGAGCACCTTGACCTTCTTTGGTGTCAGGAACTTTGATGTGAGGCGGCAGGCAGGGATAACTAGATAAATAAGACAAGGGTAAGAACGTGGAAAAACAAGACAAAGGAAACACATTGTAATGTCACACACAGTAAACAAGACTCGGCGCTGGAGTTAGTGTGTATGCTGCTTAAGTAGTGTGTGTAATCAGTCCGTGACAATCCTCCGGTGGTGCATAAGTAATCAGTCAGAATGAGGAACATGTGTGAGTGAGCGGAGTGCATGTATGAAGTTGTTGTCCAAAATGGAGGATTTGTAGTCTGTAAGGGATTGTGAGTGTATTTTAGCGATCTATGGAGTTACGATCGCTGGTGATCATTACAGAATCACTGACTCGAACAAATCACTTTAATAATTATTAATTAATTAATGATTAATACAGTCTCTTGTTGCTAGCTTCTGTCAGAAAGGATTAATGAAAATGTTGCTTTGGCAACTAGATTAAAAAAAGTAATCTATTTACTAAAACTTTAATGTGGAGGCCGAAGTATGAGAAGAAGTGCTATCCTGCTGAAGAATTTGCCCTCTCCTGTGGTTTGAAATGTAATGGGCAACACAAATGTCTTGATACATCAGGCTGTTAATGCTGCCATCCACTCTGTAGATCTATCGCATGCCCCCATACTGAATGTAACCCCAAACCATGATTTTTCCTTCACCAAACTTGACAGATTCCTATAAGAATCTTGGGTCTATGTGGATTCCAATAGGTCTTATACAGTATTTGTGATGAAAATCTAATTTCTGCCCCATTTCCAAATGATTAACTAAGTCAAGTTATTATTTGCTGCTCTTACAACAAGGATCAACGACAAAACTTTAGTCAGGTAGCGTAAAAATGTTAATTGGGCTTTCATAGTGGAGGGCTTTTTCACAGTTTAGTAACAGTAGCTGGGAATGATTTTTGTTGTAGGAATGCTGTTCAGCTGAAATAAATTTGCTCCTTTTTCAGAGCAGGGTCTAATCAAGCATAATAGGACTACAGTGATGAAGTGAACACAGAGGTGGCTTGTTCATTTGACTTGTTCATATGAGTTTCAGTCTCTGATGAGACTGTCAAAGGCTTTTTCTATGCCATCACTGTTGAAAACCCCTTTGGAACCTTTAATTTTATATAAGAGTAAATTCCTCTGATGCAGTATTTAGCTAATATGATCACACAAGAAAAACAAAAGATTTACTTGTGTTATTATGTTATAAAGACTAACATTCTTCATTAAACAAATACCATGTGCTGATGGTGCTCAAGCACGTTTTCATGGTAAAGGAACACGTTAGTCACCCAGGCTTCATTATTCACACAGAATGATGTGTGTGTATGGGCCTTGCAGAGGGCTGAGGAATCAGCCTCCAGGACCACCAGCTGCTCCACATCACATTCGACTGATCATGTGACATAGATTATGCAAGCTAACTGTATGTGTGCTTCATGTAAATATGAACAGGCTGTCCTGTGCTTTACGTAAGCAGTACTGAATAAGCAATGGTGCCCATGACTAATTGAAGTTTAATGCAAAAGTATTTAGCTTCTGAATGAATATGAGTTTATTTGAATTGTTTGAGTGAAAGATTTAACGGTTGGTTAATAAAGTTAGTTGTTCCTATGCAGTCGCACAGTGGTACAAAACTATTTTGTTCCTGAATGAATAGGTGATTCTGAACAATGTTTGTTTAGTGAATGATTCAACGACTCATTCATAAAGAAAGCCAGTTGCTTTGTTCCTGATTGAATGAATGTTTTGAATGAATCATTTTAGTGAATAACAAATTACTTGCTTATAAAATCAGTCACAAAATGTTTCAAAATGTCCTTTGCCCCTGGATTTGTTTTTTAAACTAATTTATTGAGTACATTAATCAGTTTTATAAAGCCAGTTGATTCTCCCTGATTAAGTCTGTTTTTGAACAATGAATAAGAAATCAGTGATCAGTGAATATAAATTCCTTAATCATAATTATAGTGTTTTAAAACAGTGTTTGCTCCTGAGTGAATAAGTGTTCGGTGACGCGGTGGCGCAGTAGGTAGTGCTGTCACCTCATAGCAAGAAGGTTGCTGGTTTGAGCCTCGGCTGGGTCAGTTGGCGTTTCTGTGTGGAGTTTGCGTGTTCTCCCTGCGTTCGTGTGGGTTTCCTCCAGGTGCTCCGGTTTCCCCCACAGTCCAAAGACATGTGGTACAGGTGAATTGGGTAGGCTAAATTGTCTGTAGTGTATGAGTGAATGAGTGTGTATGGATGTTTCCCAGAGATGGGCTGCAGCTGGAAGGGTATCCTCTGAAAACATGTGCTGGATAAGTTGGCGGTTTATTCCGCAGTGACCCCGGATTAATAAAGGGACTAAGCCGACAAGAAAAGGAATTAATAAATGTTTCTTAAAAGAATCAGATGAAGTTAGGGACTCAAAAAGTGAGCCAGTTGTTTTTTCGTAATTAAATTAGTTTTTGAATAAATCATTTGAATAATAAATTATTTACTCCTAAATAGTCACATGGTGTGGAAATAAGTGTTTTAACTAATTGTACCAGTAAATGATTCAGTGACTCATTCATGATGGAAGCCTGTTCTTTTGTTTCTGATTGAATCGGTAACCAAGGGGTATGACACTTACAACAGAGTTCGAATCCACAAGCAGGTTTATTGAGGCAGTCAGGCAAGCAACGGTCAACACGGGTGCAAACCCATGTGTGAAGGAAATCCAGAATCGTCATACAATAACAGGCGAGAGGTCAAAAGGCAGGCGGCAGGCAGAGATAACTAGATAAATAAGCCGAGGGTAAGCACACAGAAAAACAAGACAAAGGAAACACGTTGTAATGTCACACACAGTAAACAAGACTCGGCGCTGGAGTGAGTGTGTATGCTGCTTAGGTAGTGTGTGCAATCAGTCCTTGACAATCCTCCGGTGGTGCGTAAGTAATCAGTCAGAATGAGGAACATGTGTGAGTGAGCGGAGTGCATGTATGAAGTTGTTGTCCAAAATGGAGGATTTGTAGTCTGTAAGGGATTGTGAGTGTATTCCAGCGATCTATGGAGTTACGATCGCTGGTGATCATTACAGAATCACTGACTTGAACAAATCACTTTAATAATTGTTAATTTATTAATGGTTAATACAGTCTCTTGTTGCTAGCTGCTGTTAGAAAAATCTATGAAAATGTTGCTTTGGCAACTAGATAAAAAACTAATCTATTTATTAAATCTGAAATAAAATACATTAGAAATGTTTAAAAGACAAAACATTCATTCATTCATTCATTCATTTATCATTCATTCATTTTCTTTTCGGCTTAGTTCCATTATTAATCTGTGGTCGCCACAGTGGAATGAACCGGCAACTTATCCAGCATATGTTTTACGCAGCATATGCCCTTCCAGCCGCAACCCATCAGTGGAAACATCCTTCCACACTCATGTAAAGAGTCTTGAAAAACATCTAGTCAAATATTATGTACTGTCATCATGGCAAAGATAAAAAAAAAAATAGTTATAAAAATGAGTTATTAAAACTATTATGTTTAGAAATGTGTTGGAAAAAAATAATTTTTTCCATTAAACAGAAATTGGGGAAAAATAAACTAGGAGGCTAATAATTCAGAGAGGCTAATAATTCTAACTTCAACTGTGTGTGTGTGTGTGTGTGTGTGTGTGTGTGTGTGTGTGTGTGTGTGTATATATATATATATATATATATATATATATATATATATATATATATATATATATATATATATATATATATATATATATATATATCGGCAATGTGTGAAATAGAATTCCTAAAATCGAACATTAATGTATGAAAAGATTGCTACTATGTACATTGCCTACGCTTTCTATAGAATGCAGAGTTACCGTGTGGCAAAGTATGTAACTGGCCTACCCCCGCCATATTTCCCACCACTGATGTTTGCAGTGGCGCTTGGCTCGTTGTTTAATGATGGCGATCAATAGCACATGAATGTTGAACGTTATTGTAAGACAACTGTATTCCTGGTATGAGGTTCCACTACCACAAAACAGACAACATTGTAAGAAATACTTCAATCTCAGTTCTGCTGTCATTGTTTTTCTGGTAAGAACATCATATGCTTTATTTCGTATTCCTTCCACTTTCAAATATGTGCTCCTCTGACACTTTGCCTAAATGATACTTGTCTATATATATATATATATATATATCTATATATATTATACATAAATACCCAGCAAAAGTATGCAAAATCTTTAAAAAAAAACTGATATACTTTGCCTAAAATATTTAGGCATTCTATACATTTCCTAGGTATTTTATACAATACCGGGATTTCATACAGTGCCGGGAACATATATGTTTTTAAAAAATGATGGCATTTGTTATGTTCTCCAAAGGCATCAAAATGTATTGGTTCTTTAAACCTAAACAAAGCTGTTTTTAATTTGAACCATTTAATATGCTCACAATTGAATGCTCCGCACCATTCAATTTTCATCACCAAGATGAGTTTTGCATTTGGATTGAATCTGAGAACAGCCCTGATATTATCGCTGCCCACTGAATGTATCCTTGCCCTCGATTTTAGCTGATGAGTGTGAAAGTAATTTCCTTCGAAAAGGGTGGAGGAGCTGATTTGAATAACAAACTATGTAAAGACTTGCTCTGCATAAAATCATGGTAGGTGCCCGTGGATTGGCTGGACGGCTTTGGCAGGATCTTTTCATAGATGAGAAAACAACCCAGCTGTGGTTATTATTGCAGGTGGCTCATCTGAATCAGTCTCCCTCCCACATTCATCAGCAAATGAGCGGACAGAGCGACTGTCAGAGTGTAAATGCTCTTTCTGCTGGCTTGTTGTAGGTTTAAGTGTGTCACTGGACAGCATGACGGAGGTGATGAACAGCTGTGAGTCTGCTGTGGGAGACTTCAGCGCGTCTGAGGAACAGAACATCTCCTTGCAGGTGGGTCGGCTGCCTATAGATGCTCTCTTGAGGTAAATGCTTTTATTCTAGTATGTAGAACAGAAGTTAGTGCACAAAAGAGCGAGAGACAATACAATCAACTTCTTATTATTGGATTTGGTTTGTGACTGAAAAATGCATTCGTTTTTTTATTACATTTAATCTGTTAAGAGAAATATAATTTAAATATTATAGAAAATTCAGTATAGCAACTAACAAAACCTGCAACAATGCTAATAATTAACTGTAATTCAGATGTTTTAAGTTCTTATTCATCTTTATCTGCTTGTGTTCTGCTTTCTGGTTTATCTTTATGTGTTATTCCTAATGTGTGTGTAAAGTTGCAGCTCAAAATACCTCACATATCACTTATTATTACACTGTAAAACCCAAAAAGTTAAGGTAACTCAAACTGTCTGAGGAAATCGATTGCAACAAACCATTTAAGTTAAATAATAATCCTAATGAGTACTGTGAACTTAATCCAATTGAGTAAACGAAGCAATTTGAGCACAGTAAAACCCAATAAATGAAGAGAACTCAACTAAGTACTGTAAAACCCAATAAGTTAAGGCAACTCAAACTATTTGAGGAAACCGATTGCTACAAACCATTTTAGTTAAAGAACTAATCTATATGAGTACTGTGAACTTACTCCATTTAAGTTGAAGTAATGAGGTACTTCATTAACTCTTCACCTTCAACACTGAGCTCAAACTTCTTTTTTAAATGAGTAACTTTCAGTAAATTTTGAGTTAACTACACTTATTTTATTTGATTAGGTTGACTTTTGGGTTTTACAGTGTAGACCATTCTGGATAAAGTCCTTCCTGTGTAAAAAAGCAAACCAAAACATGCCGGTTTTGTCTTTTTAAATGCAAATGAACTGCTGCTCCACCCAATTTCCATAAGAGGGCAGAGCCCATTCAGCTTGTCCTTCAGTTACTCTGCAACGACAAATAAACCACCTGCAAGAGCTTTAAAGCCTTGTCAGTTTAAAGTCCACATTATGTTTTTCCAATTGCACAGACAAGAAGCAAATCTAAATAAGTCAAATTTGGTCATTAAAGTTTAAAGAACAGTATTGTAATTTATGTGCTTACATTATCCCGGATGTTTCAAAGAATGTTCATATCCAGAGAGATAAGCACTTTTAACTAGTGTAGTCCTGTTGCCATGCTAATGATGCCATATACCCTTGATTTTCGATTTTGTTTTGTCGAAAACAGGGAAAACACCAAAGATGTTTTGATATGTTCTGCATTTTATTAGACTGGAATTGTAACAGAATCTTAAAATGTATTGTTTAAAATGTGCTACATCTAGGCATTGAACAATGACTGTTTTTAAGGTATATCATAGTTTAAAAAAGTCAAGGTTTTAAAACTGCCACAATTTTCTTAATAACCGTTCCTAAGGTATGTGCAAGATTTTTTTATTTGCGTTTTGTTTAGTTTTTTTTAGGAGAACAGTATGTCCAGAAGAAAATATATCTAAATATGTCATTTTTAAATTGTGAAGAAATTAGTGTTTTTTTAATCTAATGAAGATAGCAGAAGTCAATGATTTATTTTAACTATTTAGCCTGACATGTTTACTGTTCCAAAATATTTTAAATGTTTTTCAAAATAAAATATTTTGTGTTCATAGTTGAAAAAGTTGTTGTTTTTGACTCTGACATTTAAAAAAAACACATATATTAGAGCAGTAATCACAATACCGTAAAACCGTGATTTTCTTTTCAGGTTATCATACCGTCAGAATCTTATGCCGACACATGCCTAGCTGCATCCCGTTTCTCATCAGCAATTTTTCTTACTTGTTTCTCTTTATGGACTTTCAGCTGTTCTCAGCTTCATATTTTATGGATAAAACGTCTTGAATACTTAAGCTCATCCATGAACATGACAACTGACCATGAAGTCCTGTAGGATGTAAAGACTTTCATGATTCCCCACTCATGTATTTTGTTATCATCAAAACACTTCTTTGTTTGTTGTGAATACATGCCCTCTAGTGGAGAAAATTATGTACTGTGCCTTTAAGATGATACTGGGTGAAAGTCCAATGTCACTGTCCAATGTTACAACGTAACTTTTTGATTTAGTGGCTAATTCGTATTAATATGAACAATCTCATTAATACAATCTAGAATGACTTGCTTATCCCCCAATGACGCTTGGGTTTAGGTATGGGGTTTGGTGCCATGACTTCTTTTTAAAATTCGTACATTTTCGTGCGACTGAACTTGTATGAATTTGTACAAATTACTCAATAAATTGACAAAGTGTAAAATAGTTACGTCTCCTCGTAAGATCTGGCAGGAAAGTCCTATTCTCCATCATCTGTCAAATACACACACATTTGCCTCAAAATCCAGTCTGATCTGATGAGGAAACAACTATTTTTACGTTTTGTCAGTTTAGTGGCTAAATTGTACGAATTCAGTCGTACAAAAATTTACAAATTTAAAAAGGAGACGGGGCACCAAAGCCCACACCTAAATCCAACTGTAATTGGGGGATTAGCAAATAGTACTAAATTGTACAAAAGAGATCACACAAATTCATACAAATTAGCCACTAATTCAAAAGGTTACGAATTGCCATGAGATCGTATTGCAAAATCTTACAACATCCAGACATTTACATATAATGTTGGTTATGTCTCTTCAGTAGCAGTATGTTAGATCTGGTAAACAGGATCTTTTGGACATGAAGACAACACACTCAAGCACGACTCAAACAGCTCTTGCCCCCTCGGGTGGGAATGATTTCATTGGGGATGTTGTTATCTGCATGTTTCCAGACGTAACAGTGCTTACTGATATAGAGAAGAACACTTTTTGGAGTGACTTGACTTGTGCTTAGTAGATCTTATTCACCCACAAACAGCAACATTATGCAATGAAGTGGATCGTCTTTCAACAGTGACATTCATATTAAACTGACTGAATCATATTTAATTGAACTAGAACTAGTTGTTCTAACATCACTCAGCTGCCTGCCTGATATGCTGAATATGTTCCACAATCGGAAATATTGTTTTGGCTTCATGGCTTATTAGTTTTTTCTTCATTAACTTGAAGCTGCTTTTACACAATCTACAAACAAAAATGAGTGGACTTTATATAAAAGGAGCTAAAACAAAACATGAAATGTAAAGAAGCACAAATTACAATGTGTACTTCCATCTTGACTGGGGTTAAGATTGTAATATTTTACTTTTAAGAGTAACTTTTCCCAACACCAAGCACTTTTCAAATAAATATAATTATATACGACGCATTGCAGGTTTGCAGATATAAATTTCCATTAAATTTATTTAAACTGGAAAGATATTTACTAATGTATCATTTACAGTAAAACTGAATTGCTTATTAATGTAAAATATTGAAAATGGGGCAGCATGGTGGCTTCAGTGGTTAGTTTGTATGTTCTCCCCGTGTTCACGTGGGTTTCCACTGGGTGCTCCAGATTCCACCACAGTCCATAGACATGTGCTGTAGGTGAATTCAATAAACTACATTGTCTGTATTGTATAAGTGTGTGTGTGAATGTGAGAGTGTATGGTAGTTTTCCAGTACTGGGCTGCAGCTGGAAGGGCATCCACTGTGTAAAACATATGATGGAATATTTGGCAGTCCATTCCACTGTGGCAACCCCTGAAATAGATAGCCGGAGCACAGGAGCAATTTTAGGATTTTCATTTTAGTGGTGCTCAGCTCCTTATAAGGTAAAAATTATATATATATATATATATATATATATATATATATATATATATATATATATATATATATATATATATATATATATAACCTAATATTACATTTAAAAGCAGTAATTTAATAGTAATACACTTAAAAATGTTTGTTTATTATGGGTTGTATACTAGTGTTTCACTGTTTTACATAGCCAGGCATAATCATTTGAGTTCTGAATTAGCCAAATAGGCTCAACACCTGTTTACTGTAAAAACCACTTTCTATAGTCAAGCAAATTGTTTGTTTCCATGTATTAAATAAATAAACTGCCACTTTTCTAATTAAATGACACACATATAAATAAATATTTTTAAACTTGCAGGCTAATTTGCATATTTCACACTCCGAATGATAATAATAAATAAGAAGTTTTTTATTAACACTAGACGTTTCTATCTCTGTCTGTGACTCAGTGACATGAGTAAAATGAGTACATTCTTTAAGTGCTTCTGTCACTGTGTTTAATCCTTTCTGTGCAAGACTGTATGGTATAGTTAATGCCACACGAACTGTAAAGTGTTTAATATTGGTAGTTCATTTTGAAATAAAACTAGCAAAGTGTTTGTTAAGATAAATAATTTTTTGCTGTGCTGATGAGGTGAACTCTGAGAAAACCTCGACTGCTCCTCCGTGACATTGGGATATAGGTGATAAAAGGTTATCTTTAGCAAAGAACTGCAAATAAGCAGATATTATAACAATTTATCAATAAACACATACCTCGTTCTCTCGCTGTCCACAACTGTGGTTTGCTGATCAAATGAAAAACAAAAGACAGGGAGGAGCCGAATTCTACAGCTGTTTTCATATCAAATTTAAAGGGGATTGAGGCGATAATTGAGTATACAGTTTGTGAGCTAATCGCAAACGTTTTAGGAGGGCTGAGTAATATAGGGGGGCTACAGCCCTAAAATAGGCCTAGCAACGCCCATGCTGAAGAAAAATGAATGAATAATTTATTATATATGACACATTCCAGATTTGTGGATATAAATTAACATTCATTTTCTTTTGACTGGAAAGATATTTAATTAATGTATACATTTACAGTAAACTAAATCAACAAAATGTTTTGATATGTTCTGCATTTTATTAGACTGGAATTGTGACAGAATCTTAAAATGTATTGCTTAAAATGTGCTACATCTTGGCATGGGATGATGACCGTTTTCAAGAAATACCACAGTTTGAAAAAGTCAAAGTTTTAAAATGTCACAATTTTCTGTATTACCGT